TACAGATACTAACCATAACCATAACCACGTAACAACCCACTAGTACTCTACACTACAGATACTACCCATAACCATAACCACGTAACAACCCACTAGGACTCTACACTACAGATACTACCCATAACCATAACCACGTAACAACCCACTAGGACCCTGCACAACAGATACTAACCATAACCATTACGTTTGATTTTATTTTCGCGCAAAGCTACTCGAGGGCTATCTTCGCTAGCCGTCCCTAATTTTGAAGTGATAGACTAAAGCTAGTCAACACCACACAGCCAACCTTTGAGCTACTATTTTACCAACGAATAGTGGGATTGACTGGCACATTATAACGCCCTCACGACTGAAAGGGCGGGAAAATTTAGTGGGACGAGGATTTGAACCCACGACCCGCAGGTTGAGAGTCGAGCGTCCTACCCACCAGGATATGCCACATCAAATAACCCATTAGGATTCTGTATAGTAGACACTAATGACAGCCATAACCAACTAACAACCCATTAGGATTTTGTATAGACGTTATAATGTTTAGCATTCTCGTAGCAGTAAATTGTAATCTACCATAGATAGAAGCTAAGCCTGTGTTACAAACCTGTCAGCCAATATCCCCGTTAGCTCTAGAACCAGTGTTGATCTCGTGCTACAAACCTGTCAATGAGTATACTTTCAAACCTGTCAGCTAATATCCCAATTAGTTCTTCCCCTGTGTTAATTTGCTATTTGTATTTTATACTCATGGCAAAGCTATCAATGCTATATGCCGCTCCGCCAGTCAGCAGAACTCTACCACCCACTATCTACGCTAAGTGATTGACTGTCGTACTTATAACGCATCTACAGCTTAAAGTGCGGGAAATGTTTTGCAGTATCGCAAAGATTCGAAATCCATAGGCCCAATCTAGAGCCATTACTATGAGTTAAAGTGTGTTCCTGTTGAGGAACATAAATAAATCTTATCCATCCAATCCGTGGCAGTGACTTAGGTTTAAGATCTTTCAAGCCTCATAGAGAGTTTGGGGCCTGGAAGACAACCCGGGATGTTCAGAAAATTTTGTTTCTCTTCACACCGCGCGGTGAAAAGGCTTAAGCTAAACGGAAATGGAAGAAGCCTCTGGGCTTAATTTTGTTTGTATTCTTATTTACCCCCGTTTCTAAATATGTAGCGTGGCTCAGTAACTATACTTAGGACTACATCCTATTCGATCTGAACCGGTCCTAGTAACGAAATTCTTTACTTAACTTTCCTCTCCAGTTAATGTATGTTTGGATAGGTTTTTATTATTGTTTTGACATGGGGATCTGATATGATTAGAAGTAAGAACTAAAGCAACTAAACTAACTTACTGTTGGCTTCGATTAATGTCGTATGGAACTTTGTTTCTTTCACAGATCACACTACCAAATGTCTTGGTTTGGTTTATATATTACAGTGAAGAAAGTTGTCAAAAACATTTGATGAAATATCAAAAGTCATTAGCTCTTTACAAATTGAACACGAAGAGAGCAAACTCAACCCATTCAGACAAGGAAGTCAAGATAACACCTACTTTCAAATCACTTGTTCCACTTGAGTGAATTTAATTTAGGAGTAAAACTAGACATGTAATAATATCAACAGTAATATACACACACTAACCTATTTTTTTCTTTTAGATCCATGCTTCATTAAGTGATGTTTTTCACTCGACAACAGCTTGCACAACTTGGATTACGTGTTTTCCAACAGATACAAGAAATGCTTCGTTCCACAAATTACTGATTTGTATCTTCTTGAAGTGGAACTTTCATTCGTAACACAATATACTAATAAGAAGTACAATAGCAGTATATATCAGTCGTGCTTGTGGAATATATACGACACAGATGTGCTTATCTATTTCTGTTTTCTTGAAATCCCCAGAACTTCATCTCCGTGTACTTTATTAACTAAAAATAATGTTTATTATCTAGTTTGAGATATGGATATTGTTGGTGAAACACATCTTTATAAAAAAAAAACACACTAAAATTCAGTGTGTTTCTCGGTGTAAAAAGTTGTATACATATTCCTGATTTATGATCAGAGGTCTGGATATATTAGAGATCAACGTTTTAGCTCAGATAAAATGTTAAAGTAGCAAAAAACAAAACAAATCTGTGTACGCTCAAAGGTCAAGATAGATCAAATGTCGAGGTAGTAGTAAACCATCATTTCTATATAAGGGTTTTGGGGAAGTTCACGACAAAGATAAACATTTCTATGCAAACATCTTACGTAACATCACAGCAAGTACATAATTTCTGTGTCAGATTATATTTGTAAATTACAGTAAAATACACATCCTTGTGTTTTGTAGGTAAAGCTTGGATAATCGTTGTTGTTTTATAGGTAAAGCTTGGGTGATTGTTGTTGTTTTTGTAGGTAAAGCTTGGATAATTGTTGTTGTTTTTGTAGGTAAAGCTTGGATAATTGTTGTTGTTTTTGTAGGTAAAGCTTGGGTAATTGTTGTTGTTTTATAGGTAAAGCTTGGGTGATTGTTGTTGTTTTTGTAGGTAAAGCTTGGGTAATTGTTGTTGTTTTTGTAGGTAAAGCTTGGGTAATTGTTGTTGTTTTTATAGGTAAAGCTTGGATAATTGTTGTTGTTTTTGTAGGTAAAGCTTGGATAATTGTTGTTGTTATTATAGGTAAAGCTTAGATAATTGTTGTTGTTTTTGTAGGTAAAGCTTGGGTAATTGTTGTTGTTTTTGTAGGTAAAGCTTGGATAATTGTTGTTGTTTTTGTAGGTAAAGCTTGGATAATTGTTGTTGTTTTTGTAGGTAAAACTTGGGTAATTGTTGTTGTTTTTGTCCAGATGAACGCGATTTGGACTTTAAGTGTTGTGGAATTCCCAAGGATCTCCGACATCCCAACTGTATGCCTATCGAAATTCCTCCAGATGACCCCTTCTATTCCCATTATGGACAGCACTGTATGGAGTTTAAACGTCTTGAGGCAGGTCAAAGACCCGGATGCACACTAGGTAGGTTAATGTTTCAAGCTATAAAGTTTATCTGAATTTGAAAGAAGTATATCCAGTTATTATTTACCTTTTATCTAATACAAAAAAAGAGACTTCGTCCCTCTTTTCAATAGTTGTTTCCTTGAGAGGAGACCCTTTCTTCTTTCTGTTAGTTTTCTTTTGTTTTTGTTCAGCACAAAAATACACTGAGCCCACCACGAGAATCGAAACCCAGTTTTTAGCGTAAAAAATCTTCGGACATACCGCTGTGCCACTAGTGGGACCTTTTCTCTTAATTGTTTTTCGTGTCAACTTTCTCTACAAGAAAAATAAAGAGTAAATGTATGACAGCCAGAACCTTTGTAAGTGAGGGTGACATGTTATTTGTAATATTTCATCAAAACAGGGCTGAAAAGTATTGAATATAAACTATCAACAAAAGCGATAAAGAGTGGGAAGGGAGGAAAGGAAAACATTAAAAAAAAAAGAATAAAAATTCTAAGAAATGTTTCATTTTATTTACACATTTAAAGTATTAAAAAATTCGAAGCTTTTCGAAAATAAAACCGTCGCCAAAATTTACGATACTGCAAAAAACTAAAACTATATAATACTGAATAAGATTAGAATAGCGAATAATTATTAACGGTATAAAGGTTGACAGTACTGAAATTAGTAAGTTATCTTTAGGTAATTATAATGTGATAACTAGGGTTGATGTAAACGTGTAAAACAGAACTGTTCCAATGATAGAGTGTTACTGAAACAGCCTTTTGAACCACTGTGTTACTAAAACAGTCTTTTGAACCACTGTGTTACTAAGTAAGCCTACTGAACCACTGGGTTACTAAAACAGCCTTTTGAACCACTGTGTTACTAAGTAAGCCTACTGAATTATTGTGTTACTAAAACAGCCTATTGAATTTCTGTGTTACTAAATCAGCCTACTGAACCACTGTGTTATAAAACAACCTATTGAACCATTGTGTTACTAAAACAGCCTACCGAACCACTGTGTTATAAAACAACCTACTGAACCATTGTGTTATAAAACAACCTACTGAACCACTGTGTTCTAAAACAACCTACTGAACCACTGTGTTATAAAACAACCTATTGAACCACTGTGTTATAAAACAACCTATTGAACCACT